CCCCCCCCCCCCCCCCCCCCGACACCGCGCCAGCCCGCATGCCAGCTTTGCGTGAGGGATAGAGAGGGGGGAATGTACCAGCCTGCGCGGCGCCAGCTGTCGTGCCGCTCCAAACCAGCGTATGCCGGCACTTCTCTAACTTGTTCGGCACCCTCCACCAACATTCCTTTACTTGGCGATGCTGGCTTTTCGAGAACCCGGAAGATCACTGAGGCCGTGCTTTGGGGGCGGTCACCTTGTGTGCTGCGGTTTGTGGTTTCGGAGGCATATGAGGCATATGCATTGTCCGTTTCCCGTTGTGTTTCCCGCAAGATATTAATTTTCCATCGGATTCCCACTGGAAAAACTTGGGAAGTGTTTGTTGTTGAAGGTTCTGTGCGGATTCGAACCGCGACCACTGGAGTCAGGGTCCAGACTGCTAACCGTCGCAATGACAAGTTAGCATCTGAATTTTGCTCAGCACCCGTCCCTTGAGCTTTTGCATTCTCTGTCTCATGGACAAGGATCACAGACTCAGCAACTCTCGTTCGCATTGAGGGGGCAGATTTGATAGTTCGGGTTTTGCAGCCTTCGTCTCATCACATTGGCAGCCGTCTCCACCTTCTCCTTTCCATTGCCGATTTCGAATTTTCGATGATTTGTGTGTTCTGCGGCTGCTGGCAATGTGCTCGACTCGTGTCTTCCTGCAGCCCCCGTCGTTGCCACCCCTCCCAGATCGTGCTGTCCAACATCTCTAGCTTCGTGCGTACTGAGACAAGCTAGCACTAAGATTGAAGAGCTCCTGGACACGTGCCAGTCGGACTGAAGTCATGCAAGAAGTGGTTTTTCTCCCAACCTATGCGGCTAGTGCAGAAGCCGGCCATCACGGCGGCGAGGGCGAAGCTATTTAGTCAGGAACTGAGAAGGCATCCGTTCCACTGCAGACAATCCCGTAGAAGCCCCTTAGTCTGGTTCCGTGCCTGCTAGAACTGCTAGAAGTATGAGGGGATGCAGTGTAATAAGTTGGGACGCCCAATGCACAGAGCTTGCTTGGGCATCGTAGGAGCCCCACGCAGTTGACCTGCATCGCAGCTGACCGGGCCATCCAGTACATAACCCTCCTCGCAGCCTGGCCTTGGATGTGAGGCTGATTCTGGAAGGCTCACACGGGGTTCAGTGTAAGCCTCGTGCAAACAAGATGAGCCTGAAGAAAGAGCCTGCCACAGTTTCAGGTAATGTGCAAAGCTGCAATATACAGAGGGATGAAAAATGCATCGACCTGTGGGCAGTTTCCGAGCTCGCCATGCTGTGGCCCCTCTTGGACGAGGCAACCACCAACCTCGTCTTCGAGGGCCAGCATACTTGAGATGTCTTGACGGGGGTGCACTCTGAGTCCAAAGCCTGCGCGTGTACATGTTCGTAGACACCCAGTACTGGCACAAAGCAAGGGGTCACTGTGCAAATCAGTCTACTCCCGTGTCGCGAAATGGAGTTGGTCAAGTTGTCGATGATCAGTTTCCACTTCCCGGCAAGGAACAAGATGTCAAATATGCATGGCAGTTTAACGCCGAGCGCTCCTGCACATGCCGTCATTGTGTGACAGCAGAGCCGTCCGCCCATAGCAAGGCCGCATCAACCTATGAATTCGACGAGGTAAATAAATGCCCCGGAGTGCTTCGCTACGGCTGTGCCCTGACAGGGCGAGGATTCCTCAGTACATCATCACTTGCAAGAGTCGCTGTAAATCAACCGCTATCAAACCACTAGAGTGCAAGCAAAGTTTTCACTGCTGCCTAACAGCCAGTGCTTAGGTGCTGCTTCTCTCTGCCTGGTTTGCTAAGGCGTTGCATTCAGAACAGCAAGACGCTGTCTCCATGCCGCACGAATCTGATTCGATCTCTAGGCCTCATGTCAATGTGGCCTCAGGCTCGCAGGCTGCATGGATCTAGCCCTTTTGAAGCTCACAGCAGTTTCCGGACGAAACGGTCGAAAACGCAATCACTGACTGAAGCCTTCATGGTTGCATGTCGAACTTCAATGAGCGGCATGGCTTTGTGCACGTCATGAACGTGCCACAGGTTTGCTGCACTAACTACAGACAACTTTGGCCTTTAAAATGACAGAACTAGGAGAGAGCGAAGCTGAACACGACTCGTAGCAAACGATGCTTGCACTGCTCTCCCTGCTCTGACGGCTGCAAGCTTGCCATGCGGCGAGCTGCGCTTCTGCACATTAACGGTGTGAAACCACACTGCTGGTGGGCATCACCTGCATGGCTGGCATATGATCTTCCACCAATGACCAAGGAGGGCTGCATGGGCTCGAGTTCAGCCGATGTGTTGGCCTGGAGCATTGCTCTCATGCCTTTCTTGCACCTGATGCTGACATGGAAGAAGGACAGCGCAGGCAAACAACATTTGTGGGTTGAAGCCACGAGTCGTACTGAGCAGATGGCTCCTCCTTGCCTTCCTTTCTCCTGACAGCCGCTTCCCGTCCTTCCTGTCACCACCAGTCTCATGTTCGTCGTCTTCCCCTGTACCAAAGCATGCGCAGGTCTAACTCCAGCCCTCGTTCCGGAGTCGTCTCAGGTCTCAGTTTACGGCGGGCGATATCTGTGACCAGGGTGCCGTCTGGCTGCAGCTTCATGCCTGCAGCAGCGTGGCCCCATCGCTACATCAGCAATCTCTGCATCACGCACCCCGCATGTCCCTCCGCACAAATTTCAAAGGTCGATGAGCCTGAATTCTGGACATCGTCCAGAACACGGCCTGTCTTTTCGCAGAGAAAACATGTTCCGCAAGGTCTCAAGTGCTTTCGTTAACACAGCCCTGGCAAACAGTCAGAAGTGCGCATCAAATGGAGAAACTCGAGAAAATCCAAATGCCTGCAGGTACTGACCAGCAACTAGCAGTTTAGGTCTGGCATCCTGGCAGCCAAATAAGGACAACACCCGTTTCCATCCACATCGATTTCATTCACCTTCCGAGAGAATTTGCAGCTTGCAGCGCCCATCCATGTGGCCCTCTGCAAGTCTCGGATGCAAACATAACGCTGCAGTCTTGCTCCTGGGATCTGCCATCCTGGGCTGGATCGGAAGGCTTCTGTCTAAGGTTGAAAGAGATAAGTGCTCAGGTGTCCACGCATCTTCGCCAAAGCCTGCTCAACCTGCATAGAACCGAAATGCGGAAGTGCCAAAAGCCTCTTGAAGCCGGTATGAGCTTCCCTCATGAAGTCTCTCAGGCGCTCTACTTCACACTTCGACTCTCCACCGTGAAACGATAGCGGAGCAGGGCTCCGCCTCAATGCCTGACTGCCTCTGAAATGCGGCACGAAGCTGCAGAATTCTAATTTGTCAATGTGCGCTAATGTGTCTAGGCCGCTTCAATGCAGACACCAAGCAGAGCGACTTCGGCCTGATTGATGGGTACCAAACCCTCTCTGTCTTCGTCAAGCTCCTGTCACGCCCGGGGGGTGGTAAAGAGCCCCTGACAAGCACGCTCGTGATGGCCTCGAACGTCTCCCGGAGCGTGCTTGCCTGCTTCCTCGTAAAGTTCAAAGCCTCGCGACCCACAGCTGGACATGTAAGGCACTGCTTTCCTAGTCACATGTAGTGCGCTTTCGCACATTTTCCTTGCGCCGTCTTTTTCGGCAACGAAAGCTCCAAAATCCCAGATTGTTGGTTGGCAGCCCGTGCCGTTGAAACTCCGAGTGCGTTTCGGAACAGGTGTGCGAACAACTTTTTGAGAGTAACAAGAGGAGGTAGACATACAATCCAGGTCCAGCACAGGGCTGGATGCCAGCAAGAAGCGGGAGGTAACAGCTAATCCAAACGCTGCTTCAAAATGTGTTCCAAAAGCTGTTCCGAACACGCTATCTGAACGGGACTACCGAAGGGCTGCAGAAAAGCAAACTTCCGTGCTTTCTGCGACTGCTCATGTTGGTCTTCCACCTTTCTGGATGGGAACTGGTAACCGTGCAGCCCACGGACAGCAGAACTTCAAACATGAAAGAGCCCACGAAGCAGCTGGAGACTGATCCACCGACTACTCTGTTCGGCAAGCACAGCAAACAGAAGCTACTTGGTAAACACGCGAACTGCGCTGCAGTCAAACTGGCGTGCATCACTCGCAACATGGAAGACTCAAACGGAGTAGCTGGGAACAACGACCTTTACAAGGCCTTATCCGAGGCACTCTTACAGATTTTACAGGTCTAGCTCACTGCGGGGGACACGCTGCTATACCTCTCCTCGCGAAAAAACCTTGCAAATCTAGCTACGTATTAGTAACCAGTCATGCCCAACATGCCACCAAAGCCCAAATCAGCGCCGCAACTTCGCTCTCGAGACCCTCAACCCCAAAGCCATGCTCAAAGCTGATGCAAGCTTCCATGTGGAAGTACAGTTTAGCCAAGCTCTGGCAAGTCCAAAGACTGTCTGACGACCTGCCTGTGCTTTTTTCAAGATTTCCATGCGATCGAGCTCGGCAATGCGCTCGTTGATTCTTTGCACCTGTACCATTCCGCATCACATGTCGAGTTGGGCATGGTGCTTCTCAGTCTAATGGGCCGGCCAGCAGCAAAAGCTCGTTCACGTTCAGGTGCCCGCTTCCCTCAGAGTCTGCTTCCTGAGGCAGGCAGAACAAACGCAACGCTCTGTTTCTGCTGTGAAAAACAATCCTGCTCGCAGAGCCTCAATTAGCTGAGCCATGTTCTCCTGTAGCGGTGCTTCTTCGTCACAGCTGCAGCTGCGCCCTACCCACCTTACCCTGTCACCTCTCCTAGTACTTGCCTGCTCGAGCACCGATCTGGGCTTGATTTCGAGGTGCATGAGGATTTGACAGACATCCTTGCAGGAATAGGGACACGAATGCGGCATCACTCAGGCTGCTGATGTTGAACGGTCCTTTATGGTCAACTTGCCTGACCGGTCACGGTCGTAGTGGTTGAACAGAGACTCGACCTGCATGTGCAGGTCATGAGCAAAGGACAACCCGCTGCAAAGTCTCAGAGGTGGGCAGCGTCCATTTTCTCATCCATTCCCAGTGTGCGCAAACGCTTCACCACCGACAAAAACCTGGTCATGCGAGTGTTGGCGAATGTCTGCTTGTTCTTCCGCCGCGGGGCCTAGGGTCCAGGTCCAGGTCATGAGACTTATCCTCAGCATTAAGGTCAACCTAATCATGGTCGTCATCATCATGAAGCCACTATTATCATCGTCTGCATCATCATCATCATCATCATGACTGAATCATCACCATCATCGGTGAGCCCTTTGCCTTGCAGACTTCCTTACCTAGATCGTCTCGGGATATGCAGTGCTGAGGAGTGTCAGACGAGACATTTGCAAAGCACGAACCAGGATGACCGTGACGATGACAACGATGGCGGTCCTGATGATGATGATGATGATGTTGATGATGATGATGACGATGAAGATGAAGATGAATTCTGAACTATGGTGATGGTGATGATGATGATGATGACGGTGGTTGTGGTGATGGCGATGGTGATGGTGATGGTGATAGATGGTGATGGTGATAGCGATGGTGATGGTGATGGTGATGGTGAGGATGACGGTGGCGCTTGTCATGAAGATGGTGGCGATGACGGCCATGGTGATGGTGAGGGTGATGTGGATGTTGTTGCTGCTGTTGTTGTTGCTACTGTTGTTGTTGTTGTTGTTGTCGTTGTTGTCGTTGTTGTTCTTGTTG